AATACTTAAGTACCACAAAATTTAATGTTTTGGTAAAAGTATATTTTTTGTTTTTAAGTTTAGGTAAGTTTTGGTATTTTAGGGTACTTCTTGGTAAAATAGTAAACCAAAATTTGCAGATTAAAAAAGCTAAAAATATTATGGTTATTAGCTTTTGTCGAGGTATGTGGCTCAACACAGAACAATTTGTAAAACCTTGTGTGAAAACTATTTAACAGGAGATAAATGGAAATACATTGTGACCCTTGATGATGCATGGGTTTACCAAAAGGGTGCAATAAAAAAAGATGTATTTATATTATCAAAAACAAAGAGAAAAAATTACAAAATCCATCGATGCAAAAAAAAAAAAAAAAAAAAAAAAAAAAAAAAAAAATAAAAAAAAAATAAAAATAAAAAATTCTAGCAAAGGGCTTATGATTGTTGCAGGATTCTGTGGTGAGAAATTAAAAATAAGAAGAATGAAAAAAAAATCTTAAAATCAACTCAATGTATTATCAGGAGAAAGTTTTACATTTGGTATTTACGGAAGAAATTCCATTTCTCTATCCCAATGATTTTCAAAGAATGAAACTTCATCAAGACAAAGCAACAAGCCATACTTAGAAAAGTACACTGTATTCCTTGAAAAAATGAAGACTGGTACAGGTATTTCATATATACATTTTCAGTGTATTCTTGTAAAGTCTCTTTATGTTTCACCTATGTACGATTGTGTGTTTGGTTTCTTAAGAAGAGCTCTTTCTAAATGCAAACCCATCACCATATAAGGATTCTGGGAAGTAGTGAAAGAGAAATGAAAATCAATACCCCTGGAAATTTTATAAAAAACCTTCTATCATGGAAATGGCAATGCAGACATATAGTTGTGAAAAAAGGCTATCAGATCAAATATTAAAAAATATATACTTTTTATTTTGAAACATTAATTAAATGGCATCAAAATCATTCTAAAAATATGTAAATACCCTCTGTGTGCTATAGCTCAGCTTCATATCATTGTCACGGATTTATGCTTATGTTGGGTTTTAAATATTTATTAGGTATTGCTTCAGTTCGTTATTAAAAGCCATGGAACTAGTATGTTTCTAAAAAGCAGTTTAAAAGTTGGTACCAAGTATTTAATCTAGAAATAGTCATTTTTATCGACTTGTTTCAGTATTTTACATTTTGTGCAGCTTATTTTTGTTTTCATCATTTTATAATGATGGTCAAATAAGCAAAATAATTGCATACTTAAGGTATCAAGGAAGGATGCAGCACAAAAAGGTCATTACCAGTTTTATTGCAGAACAGTGAACTTAAACCAATGCTTAGAAAGCAGAAATGAATCTGGGTACACCAAAATTTTTTAAGGCTTAGCTCCTCTAAAACTCTTTATCTGGCCCTGATGATCGTAGTTCGTAAATAAGCAGCACTGAGTTGGAAGATTTCCACATTGTTATAATTTGCAGTTGATCAGATTAGTTATAACAGTAGAAATTTTGGTACTTTCATATTAAACCAGTCACAATGAAATTGGCGTGCACAAATTGCAGGATGTGAAAAGACTTCAGCAAAAAATGCATCAGTGCAACAAAAACATTGTTGAGAAAATGAAATGTAACAAAATTACACTTGTATTTTTTTCTTGCTTGCAGTAATTTTCTTTTTACAAGCGAATTCTGATGCAGTTAAGATGGCTTCAAATGGGTTTTTGTTTCTTGGACACTGATGCCACATGATTCTATTTGGTACAATTCAAGTTGATGTTTCATTATATATTACCATCTTTCAAGAAGAAGAAATTTTCTGTTGTAATAGGGTGTGCAAAAATGATCACGAAATATATGAATAATGAAAGCATTCAGAGATAGTGTTAACAGTTGAAGGAAGAAGAAAATATTCATGTTAGAAATTGTTTTTGTGTTTCCTGGCTATTGTATCTAAAAGCAATGAAGTTTTTCACATTTTAGAGCCTAGCAATGGCTGAGCATTAAAATTGCTGAACATTGGAAGTTTGACATGAGCTCAAATCCAGTGGCTGCTTGGGACTTTTCTTGGTATTTATAACGTGTAATATGGATACAAACTGGTTTCCACAAATGTTTCTCAAGTTCTCCACAAAGGTATCCTTTCTTTTAGGCCTCAAGTGTTTTGCCGTAATCTGGTCCAGTGCAATCCTTTTGGGCAGTAAACTTATCATTCATAAATGTGTATGAAGCAGTTATTTACTAGAATAATTACAGTGATCTTCCTTGTAACACAGGTAAAAAGAGCTGCTTATAAAAATATGGTTCAAAAGCGACATTCAAAACTCTCTGTTGAGGAATATAAGAGATCTAGAAAATAGGAGGAGATCCATCGGCTTAAGAAAAGACTTTTTCACGAAGACCTATTTAAGGATGTTGAACATCTGAGGGGGTTCAATGAAAGCCTTGCTTTCTATTGTGAAATTAATCTTGGCCACAAAGATTTTAAGCCTGGAACTACTGCCTGTAGAGACACAAACAACATCATTCTAAATGATAGAAAAGAGGTACTCCACAGGTGGAATGAGCACTTTAGTAACTTGTTGAATGACCATACACTGGAAGGGTCTTCAACTTACCCAACTACCTCTGTAAACACCGATAGTATCCCGCCACCATCTTTGGCAGAAGTTAGAGAATTAGTTAAAAAACTAAAAAATAACAGGCCCTGACTCAGTTACTTCAGAACTTATTAAAAGTGCTGCAGGTCAAAACATTGAGGAAATACACCACCTCATCGAATCGGTTTGGAACCGAGAAGTTTTATCTGAAGATTGGAAACCTGAGCATCATCTGTCCTATACACAAAAAAGGAGACAGTTTGGAATGTTTCAACTACACGGGAATCGGTCTCCTTTGTGTTTTCTACAAACTATTTTCCAATATACTTTTTAGTAGACTAGTAACTTATATAGAAAATATTGTAGGTGATTACCAATGTGGTTTCTGCAAAGGAAGATCTACAGCATAACAAATCTTTAACATTAGGCAAATTTTGGAGAAAACTAATGAATATGGCATTGCAACGCACCACCTTTTTTTTGATTTTAAGACTGCCTACGATTCAGTAAGCAGAAAATATTTAATTGAAGCTATGAGAGAATTTGCAATACTGAGAGAATTTGAAAAACTTATAAATTTGGTCACCATTACTCTTACTGAGACAAAATTTAGGGTTAAAATCCAGAAAATCTTTCTGAGCCTATTGTTATTTCAAATGGGCTCAGACAGGGTGATGCACTGTCCTGCTTGCTTTTTACCTTGCCCTCTAAAAAATCATAAAGGACTCCAACATTAATACTCATGTTAATGTAATGCAAGATAGTTATCTTTGACAAGTCTGTTCAGATTTTTGTGTGTGCTGACGATATTGACATAGTCACGCACACTCTCGAGTCACTTAGAGAGGCTTTTGCATTTCTAGAGGCTGCAGCCAACAAACTGCATCTAGCAATCAACCAAAATAAAACTAAATACATGCCATGTGGTAATAACAGCAGCCCCTATTTTGAAATTGGGAATTGCAAATTTGAAACTGTTAGCTAATTTAAATATTTAGGATCAGAAATTAATACTCTCAATGATTTAATGCCCGAGATCTGTAGTAGAGTCACAGATGCTAACCAATATTTTTTTGGTCTCGAAAAATACTTGAAGTCTAACTTTACTAGCAAAAAAACGAAGATTTTAACTTACAAAATAATCAGACATGTACTCTGCTGAGACCTGGACAACGACAGAAAAAGCTAAAAGTATCATTTCTGCCTTTGAAAGAAAAATTTTGAGAAGTATTTGTGGTGGCATAAAATGCAACATTATCTGGAGAAGAAGAACTAACTCTTAACTCTATAAATCCTTTAAAGAAATAGATATAGTAAAATATATAAGGATTCAGAGAATTAGATGGGCAAACACCTGTGCAGAATGGATTAAAATCGAATAACTAAAAAGATCTTCTCGGCCAGACCATTCGGCACCCAAAAAAGAGGGAAACCTAGGTGGCTCGACTGTTTGGAAACAGACTTAAGAATTTAAAAAATAGCCAAGTGGATATACATGGCCAGGGATAGAAGAGCTTGGAATTTGATTCTGAGGAAGGCAAAGGCCCATCCTTGGCTGTCTAGCCATTGAAGAATTATAGTGATCGTGCAAGATATTACATAAAATAAGTTTTTAGTTGGTGATCAACTATGGCAATTAATTGAAAAAATTATGATTTTTTATTTCATAAGGCTGTTGTAACCCCAAAAGAAATAAAATTTCCAAAATATACCTGTTGCTGAATTGATTTTATGTGCATGCTGCATTAAAGATGTAAATTCTGTTTGTCTGTTGACAATTTTTTACCATGTACATGCTTTTACCTTTTATGACTTTAGGTCAATGTTTTTGAACTGGGAAGGAAGATTCTCACCTGAGGGAAGCTCTTAGCTTTGGGGTGGGAGATACAGTCAGCGTTTTAATTAGCTGTTAAGTATTTAGTTTTACTTTATGAATATTAAAAACTAGTATAATTCAAGTTTTGATAATTATCAATATTTTCTATACTTTTTATTGTTTGACTTATGAAAAAATTTTAAAAATAACCAAAATCTGAATAAATGTATATGGAGGAGGGCAGATGATCTTGTAGTGGTGAAAGGAGTACTTGGGACAAAAAAGAGTGAGAACTACTGTTTTAGCTATAAATTTAGGAAGTTTGATTTAGATATGTTTGAACACATTGTGTGGTTTTAATCATAATCAGCCCGTAACTTCATATTTATATGACTGTGATTTAAATTCATTTTTTTTTTAAATTTGTATCTCAAAATTCTTAATAATATTCATGCTATTTTATTTCTGTAGGTAAAAAAATATAAAAACATAGCTTTAAATATTATATGAAGTTCTTGTGGAGATGATGTATGCTTGTATGTAATATTTGGAAATGTATATCAGTTATTTTAAATACATTGTTTTTGTAAACTACATTCTGTTTTCTTGCAGGTATGATTAGTCCATAAGAATCCACAATGATAATGTGAAATTTTGACATCATTCATAACTCCAAATTTAGTTTTTATTTTTTTTAGCCCATGAAGCGAAAAGGAGGCCATGATAATAATCAGGTAGGAATTTTATACGCATTTTGTATTTTCTGCTGTAGATTTATCTTTCTTGGTAAAAAATTTTGCCCTTGTTTGAAATTATGATGTGAATGTAGTAAAATATTTTCTAAATGGATTTTTCGAATAAAACTTTCATTTCTGTATCCAAAGTGTTATTTTTTAAACTTCTAAGTAGCATGACCTCTTGAAGCTAATCTTGTACTATATTTATGTACCATTTATTATCTGGATTTGTGTGATAATTTGTCGGTTAACAATTTAGAGATCATTATGATTTGTGAATTACTAAAAGTAAGTAATATACTATAATCAACACGTGTGCACCTAGCCAGGCAGAGAGATAGTGTTTACGCATTTGTAGAATAATTTTGTAGCCACCTCATTAATGTTTAAAATGAAAACAATATAGAGTCAAAAGTCATTAATTCGGACTCGTCGGGACTTCGGCGATTCCGGATTATCAATTTTTTAGGATTATAGATCATCAGTTTAAATCTGGTAAGATGGCATGCAGAAATTATAAAATAAAAAATATGAAACCATAATTTATGAAATAAAGAACAATTATGATCTAAAGGGTATCAAAATTTACAAAAAAAAAAAAAAAAAAAGAAAAAAAAAAAAGCTTAATATTTATTTGTTTACTTTATTAAACATTTCTTTCAATGTAAGTTGTTTAAGTTGCTTTGGTTTTTATGTGATAATACATTCTCTTTAATTCTATAAACAGACATAATTTCTTCTTCAGTTACAAAGTTCCGCTGTTCAAGTCCTATAATTGCTGTGTCGAGAATACCGCCTAATTTTTCAATCGAAATTTTTTTTTGGTTTCAATAACCTCTGTCACTTTCTTCGCTATCGGAAGCAAATTATAATGACGAGGAATTTGATTTAAATCATATCAAAGACAGAGTAATAAGCCAAATAAAATAAAAACATTTGGGCTGAAGATAAGGATAGTGTTGACAGATCAACTTCCAATTCATTGCTCGCCGCTGTGGCGTTAAAGATAAACAAAGCTTAGATAAACAAACGTTAAAATTTAGATAAACAAAGGATATGCCTTTATCCATTTTTTTTGCAGCAATTCCACTTTTTGTTTAATGGACTTCGAAACATACTTTCGCTTTGTAGATCCTTTACATATTAGTAAATATATATCAGAAATTCTATTTGACATAATCGAAAGTTCAAGCTTACTTTTATAAAATTGCTCTAACAGTCTGCAAAAAATAATAAGCCGAATCCAATTCGAAGATTAAGGAACAATGCAATCTGCAACATTAACGGAATTAGATAATTTTAGCTTAGCTTATACCGTCCGTTATACATTAACGTGCATTCATAAACGTATTTTGCGCACGCGCACACTCATATTCGCAGCTGTAAAGGTCTTATGCGCAGGAAGTTTGTAACTTTGAGGTCCGGATTATGAGTGTCCGAATTAACGACTTTTGACTGTATATTTATTTTAAATTTATGATCAGATATCCCTTTTCCTGGCCTCTTTAGTTTGCATCGTGATTCCCATTGTAGAAGGCCTTTTCATAAAATTTCCAGATAGCCCTAGAAATTTTATGAAAAGCCCTTCTACCATTGAAATCATGATGGAAAGTACAGAGTTACCAACTCTTAGGATTTAGGGAGACTCCCAATTTTTGACCATACTCCTGCCAACCCAAAAGACAACCAACATTTAATTTTTTTTTCAGTAATATATTTTTTTTACCAATGACACCTCATCAAAATGATCTTTTTCGCAAATATTATTTTTCGGAAAATGGATTCTAATTAAAAAGATTTTTCCACATATTCCCATAAAATCTCCTTTTTTATATTCAATTTCTGCGCTTTCACAAAAATGCTTCAAACTTTCAACACGCACAGTATATATCTATAAAAATACGAATAAATTTTTGCAATGATATTTTCAAGATCCACTGGAAATAATTCAGATGCTGTTTGAATAGTACTGTGTAGAATGTGTGCTGCACAACCTACTCCAATAATTTTTTGGTTCAAATATTCATTAAATTTCCTAAAAACATTATTGATGCCTCTTCTAGTTTTTCCACCAAAATTTGTGTTAGTGTTATCTTCACAATAGGCAATAATATTACTTATTGAAACAAAATAGTAGTTATTGAATCAAAAATTATTTATGAAGTTTCACCCGGCATTGAAACAAAATCTAATATTTTAATTTTAATTCCTGTTTCTGGATTGAAAAGTCTAACAATTGTGGGAAATAATTTTAAATCTTTGTGGTTGGAATATATATATGGAATATGTTTGTGGTGGTTTGCATAATATATGGATATAAATGTACATTTAATCTAATTCTTTCTAAAATTGTGAAAATGAACATGGTGAAAAAACATTACAAATTGGTTTTTGTCCTTGCACATGTAAATTTTTTGTCGTATAATGTTTTGATCATTTGCGACGTACAATTAATTGATCTAAAACTTTGATTGTGGTTTATGGTGTAGAAAGCAAATAGCCCTTCAGCTAATGCTAGCTGTTCCTCTGGTAATAATACAAATTTGCGCAAATTTTGCTACTTCTGGAAATCGCGGTATGCGCAGCAAGAGTGTTAAATACAAATTGGAGGAATCTTGACATGGGATTTGCTCCTTCATTGACTTTATGCAAATTAATTTAGAAAAAAATTCTTAAAAATTTTTAGGATTAATTTTTTGGATTATAAAATATTTTTTCATGTTTTTAGGTACTTGCTTACATATGCTTTCTAAATTTTAATGATATTGCAAATTAGTTCGCAGCAATAATTAATCCTTTAGTTGTATACAATTGAATTTTCATAATTTAAAATTTAAATTAGCTTTATATGAATGAGAGAGTGTTTGTTATAAACCTAGGATATACCTTATACCTACATCATTTCATGAACGTCCAGTCCTCTGCCCAAGAAACATAAATCTAATAGCACTAATTTCCAGCATGGAGGCTCTTCTTCTTTTTGCAGTTTTTAACACTGCACCTCCAAATAGTTTTGTTGTTAACATAAAGTGTCATGTTTCAGCCATTTTTGCATGCTTATTTGTCAGGTAAAAGATATCTTTCTTGGGAGGGGGGAAGATACACAATCTGCCTCATTACTTGGTAAATTAAAGATTGTTAATGTGATAAAAAAGAATATATTTTTAAATAAACAATGTGAGTTTCAAAACCTCATAAAAATGAATAGTATAAGAACATGTGTCGAGAGCAAAAATGCAACATGGGGTTAATATGCAATTATGTGGCAAAGTATAAGAACACACAGCCATTGCTAATATATGTTTGCATGGTGAGATAAGAACATGCAGCCAAATTCTGGCCAAGATATCTAGGTTGATTGCTGATTCAATCTCTGGAGCTGCTATAACAAAGAAGTACTGAAAAAAGTTTACTGCAAGCATACAAATGATGCTTCTTAAATAATATAAAAAAGAAAATTATTTAAAGTGCAAGTAACCCTCGTATAACACGGTAGATAGGTTCCTAGAAAATGCCATGTTAAATGATACCTAGAGGCAGTATAAAAAGGGGTGTTATATCCGAAAACTTATTAAAAACAAATATTTTTTTAAATTATACATAAACAACTTAATTTTTATTAAAAAATATATATATGTACAACACAAAACAAAAAATATTACATATTTCAGTTTAACACAACTTAAGTTTAATAAATTTTTTCGTTGTCATTGTTCAGTATAATAAACAGAGAACGTTTTTTCAGTGCAATGAGATCGCTTTCACTTTCATAATTTCTTTGTTCATTTAAAGTTCTGGCGTTTTCTTCCCTCTTTAAAAAATCTGAAATTTTACTTTGCTTACTAGTTCTTACCGGGTCATTTTAAATTTCTCGATATAGAGCTAGACAATTTTGTAGCTACCTTTTGAATTTTTCGGCTTATTTTAGAAGAAAGGGTCTGCACTCAAAAAAGTAACTCAAGATTTTTAAAGCAGAGGCCTCTTATTTTTTTTAATGTTAAATTATAACTCACAATCTTCATCAGTGGTAGTGTCCTCAAATTGATTTGATTTACAGCTTCGATGCCATTTCTATGAAATCTTGTCAATTTCTTCTTCTGCTAATAAATCTTGAATCCCTCAATGCCAGTCACAAAACCTTCGCTCCGAGATTTTAGAAGTTCTAATATGCCACCAATTTCATTTTCTGACATTTCATGCACGTTGTATATTTCCACTGAAGAGGGCCTATCTTTAACATGCATTTAACGTTGATGCTTTCTGTTTTTTCAGCTACAAAGATATGTTGTCGATTCAGTTTTTGATTGAAGATGTCTTTCAAGCTCAGAATGCATATAAATAATTAACATTTGAAGAATTATCTAATCGCTGCCACATGTTGTATTCAAGTACTATAATAAATTTAAGATGTATGAAAGAAATTGAGCAAATAAAACAAAAAAGAAACAGTTTTTTACAGACGATTCAGTATTTCTCATTCTGTTAATTCAGTTCTCACTTCCCGACAAGGCAAAATACATAAAAGCTCAAAAATCTCTATATTAAAATTACGAGTAAATCTTAACCTTATTTCCTCGAAAAAACCAGAAAGGATTAGCATGATTTAATTGGCATAATAATGAAGGCATTATCTTTGTTGTTGTGAAGCTAATTTTCTCTAGTCTGCTGTTGCAAATTAAACAATCAATGGCCGCCATAAAAAAAAATTAGCGGCACTTAAACAACTTTAAAATTGTTGATAATTCTAAAAATATTGCATACAGTTTACTAAGGCATAAAAACCTTAACCAGAAGATAAGAACAACATAATTCAATCATTTTTAAAGCAAAAAATTTACAATTTACAAACATATAAGAGTAAAGAAACTGAGATCAACTGAGCCGGGTAACAGAGAGGATATATATATAAATATATTCTCATTTCCTTAATTTTGCAGCATATTGCACAAAAGATTTTGACTTTTAAATTGTTGATAACTTTACATATATTGCATGCAGATTTACTAAAGGCATAAAATCCTTAACCAGAAGATAAGAACAAGATAATTCAATAATTTTTAAAGCAAAAAATGCACAACTTACAATCATATAAGAGTAAAGAAACTGAGAAACAGAGCCGGGTAACAGAGTGGATATATATATATATACTTATATTTATATACGTTTGGTGCGGCCGATTGCAACCAAAACACGAGGTACACATCTCCATGTTATAGCAATCTCATATACAAAATTTAAACGTTCTGAGGCTACTCGTTTTTGAGTTATGCGAGATATGTACATACGTACGTACAGACGCCACAAAATATTCTCTTCAAAATTAATTTTAAATCAGTTTTATAATTTTTTTTTGGGGGAAAAGAGTCTTTTATTCTGTCCTTATGTACAGATATCATGCAAAAACATTGTTAAATTGCATTCAAGAGGGGTCAAAATGGATATTTTCGTTGAAATATAATGCCTGAAAATTTTTGCGATTACAGTACTTCATTTTTACTTCGTACAAGGAAGTAAAAGTGTTGAATAAAAGGTAAAAATTTTGCTTCGAAACCAAAAAACAAATCTTTATGCAAGTATATACAAGTATGTAGACATAGTTCTTAGAGGGAAGTGTAGCTAAAAAGCATTCATGGCTTTTTTGTATTTCATTTGCTCACACTCCTTGGCAATTTAGGTAGTGTTTTCTTGCAAGAAAGTTGGCAGCTGTTTGTTTCTAGCCAGTGCATAAATATGCCAAAGCATCTCTCTCACCAAGGCCACTGCAGAATACAAGTACCAAAAAAATTCCCATTTTTTTTTATAATCAGATGGATGCCAAAAAAGAATTCCCATTTTTTTTCAGTCGAGACTATACAGTGCAAAGTCCGTAATTCCATTCAAGAAATTTAACATAGATTTTAAAAATGCTACTTTATATTTGCTTTCACAGGCACTATTCCCATATCCATAGGCTGATGATTTGGGGAAAAATAATACAAAGCATCTTCACTAAACAAAGTGAAGTATGTGCCGAATTGTCAACAACAGGATATTTGAGTCATCAGGTAAACCAACCGATCCAAATGCACTGAGCCTGGGGGTATAAAAGGATTTAAAAACCATCATCATCAACGCTTGGTCTTCTATGCTCTTTATTTGGCGATATTAACGGGGAAAATTGTTACTGCTTTAATGCTCGAGGTCGGCATGTTTTTTCCGATTACGCAAGTTTGCATTCTGCATTCCTGCAGCATTCGTGCACTCTATGGAATCTTTGACACCAGTTGGAGCCTTTCTGTAGAGTTGCCAAGGTATTTCGCAGTACTATTGCCAGAAAACCAGTTTCATCAGCATTGAAATTGTTCTGAAGATAATTGTTCACTTGTAATGAGTTCAATGAATTCATCTGCAAATTGTTCAGCAGCATTCATCATTCTGTCCGTAGGAGCTAGACTGCTATCTGCACCGAAAAATCTCCTTCAAATTGTGTCAGTATTGTGATTTTTCACTGTAAAATGCTAATTCTATTTATTATTTTCATTCTTCCATCAATGGAAAAAGGAGGTGTAGTTAAAGTTTTAGGCATTGTTAGCAGTAATTATCAAACTGTGGCCACAGAAAGTCTTCCTCAGAAATGAATTTTCTAGCCTATTTATGATGCTTTTGCTATGAAAATTATATTAAATAAAATGATAAACAGAATTTTCTGATAGGTTTAATAATAAATAGAATTATTCAGCATGTTGATAATATGTTTTTATTTTAAATACATTGCTTATATAATTGTATTAAGTATGATAATTAATGTATATGTTAAATAAGTTCTGTTTGATTATGCTATTATTTTAAACTAATTGCTGACAAAATTGTATTTAATATCATAATAAATAAAAAGTAATATTAAATTCCTTCTGTATGTGTATATTAAATAACTTGTGGTATGGAGAAATAGAGTGAATTTCCGATTTATCATTTACCGTAATCAGTTTTGTTTTCATGGGTGTTTACAATATTTAGTAACAAATAGCACTTTCTTAAGTCTAAATTCTGCTGATGCAGTTTTTTGTTACCAAGGCCACTACAAATGGCAAACAGCAAATTTTGCATTTAATGAGAAAATCAATTTAAATCTTCTCCTAATTCAGTTTTGGAAATGACTGCCCTTAATTCATTATGTTTCAGCCAAACACACCAGTGAAGTTTTGTTTGATTCTATGATAAAACATCAAATACTTCAATAAAAAATAAAATATATTTTATTATATATATTGGACAGAAGATTCAAAATAGTAAGCACGATGAGTATTTTACAATGAAAAAGTGCGATATTGACACAATGCAATTTGGAAAAACCCATTTAGATCATTGATTGATTGTTTCTTGCATCTGCAAAGATTGTTTCTAGGCAGTGCATAAATATGCCAAATCCACATTCTCACTAAGGTGGCTACAAAAGATGGATGCCAAAAAAGAATTCCCATTTTTTTTCAGTCGAGACTATACAGTGCAAAGTCCGTAATTCCATTCAAGAAATTTAACATAGATTTTAAAAATGCTACTTTATATTTGCATTTCAGCACGTGCACTATTCCCATATCCATAGGCTGAATGATTTGGAGGGAAAAATAATACAAATGCATTATCTTTCACTAAAACTTAAAGAAGTATGTGCCGAACAGTTGTCAACAATCAGGACTATTTTTGAGTCATCAGGTAAACCAACCGAATCCAAATGTCACTGAGCCTGGGGGTATAAAAGGATTTTAAAAACCAATCATTCATCAACGCTTGTGTCTTCTATGCTCTCTTATTTGCGCAATATATAACGGGGAAAATTGTTACTGCTTTAAATGCTCGAGGTCGTGCATGTTTTCCGATTACGCAAAGTTTGCACTTCTGCATTTGTGCACTCTATTGGAATCTTTGACACCAGTTGGAGCCTTTCTGTAGAGGTTGCCAAGGTATTTCGCGGTACATATTGCCAGAAAAGACCAAGTTTCATCAGCATTGAAAATTTGTTCTGAAGATAATTGTTCACTAGTAATGAGTTCAATGAATTCATCTGCAAATTGTCAGCAGCATTCATCATTCTGTCCGTAGGAGCTAGACTGCTATCTGCACCGAAAAATCTCCAAAACATTTCTTTCTCAGAATATTTTGCTGTCTAGTGGATAGGTTGAGGCCTTTTTGGTTCACCCTTGCTTCATCTTAATGAGTTAGATGTGTAAGCATGAGCAAATAAATAAATGAGTCTTATAATTGACCTTTTTCCAGTCATTTATCATCTAAAATTTGTATTTTTTTATCTTAGTAATAGTTTCTGCTTCATTTCACATGTTGAAAGCTGTTTTTTAATTGGCTTTCTTGCCATCTAATCAAGTGAGAAATAGACTCTGTACATTTGAAGGATGAATATCAATACCAATAGATAGTATATCTCTTTTGAGGTCTTTGCTAGTTTTTGTTGGATTAATTATGCTATTTAAAGGCCGAAATTGGTCAGATTTTGGAGTTTTCTTTTTGCTTTTTTTTTTTTTTTTTTTTTTTGAGAAAATGATCCAGGTTTATTGTGTTACCTCAGAATTCGAGAAAACCCTAGATTTTCCGTCACTACTTACAATCATAGATGTGTGACTTGGGTGAAATGTGGTAAGCTTTTGTCTCTTTTTAGTTATTATATCCATTTTTAGTATACTAAAATGAATGGATTTAAAATGTATTTAGGAAGTATGCAAAAGTAAATTCCTCTTCTCATAGAACCAAGCTTAAAAATGGTACAATAATCATAATTTATTGTCTAAGCCAGTAGTCAAAAGCAGGCATTCAGATGACATTAAGGCAAATGAAACTCCTTCGAGAGACCTGGATAGTGTCATTTAGCCACCAGCTTCAAATTCTGCAAAAAACACTTTATCCAATTAATTTGCACTCTATAGTAATTCAGGTATTTATGGCTACACTTTGTATTGATGTTTATTTATTTTTTTTATGTTAAAATGTTGAATATTATATTTTGGGCAATTTTCTCTTGCAGCCTTTGACAAAAAGACCAGATATCGTATCAACTTCCAGTGCCTTTCGTTCAAAAATAGCTGCAAAGTTGCAAACTTTATTGGAAGGCATAGCCACTGAGCCTAAGAGTAATTTTACCGAAGACAAAAAACCTGACATATCTTCATTGTTTGATGGTTCTTCAGATTTTTCCGTTACTCCATCTGTAGATGCTGAAAATAGTTTTACTGATAGTACAAGCCTTGTCTTGCAGAATTTCATTAATTCTGCAAAATTAAAGATCACAGAATTACTACACAAAGAGAATAATGAAGCACATGCATTTGAAATACAGGTAGGTACTGGATTAGAGCTCTTGTTGGTTATTGAAATAAATGTAATTTTTTCTTATGCCTTCTATATTTCTCTGTGAGCTGCTAGTCATTTAGTTGTTATTTTATTGCATTGAATTTTCTGCTTTTTAAAATAATTTCAGGATGAGACAACTATAAGAAAAATTACTTCAGCTATTCTAAGAAAAATATACAATGGGTGATCGGTTAACGAACATAATCCATTCCAAGATTATGTTCACTATCCGAATTGTTTGTTAACCGATCGCTGATTTACCATATATGTTAATGGGAATTCGATTAATTCATTCTGGAGATCCTAAAAATTAAATTTAAAAAAATGTCATGTACAAGTATAATTTCTTAGTAAGTTTATTTATTACAAATATAATACATACATATAGTTTTACTATATGTCAGTCCTTTTCCTTTTTTGGGGCGTTTAAGAACATGTCCAATGTCGATTGTTTTTCCTCTCTCCTTCAGGACGTTCAGGAATTGATAGCAATGTCGTTGTAGAGATCAGCAACCCTATTGACATCAGCTTGGTTTGGGTGCCATTTTAAGACCGTTGCTCTGACATCCTCCCACTTCTTCAAAAGATCTTTAATGGCATATATCAGCATTGCTCCTCTTTTGTCTTCCTCTTTTTCAGAAGGAAACACATTTCGCTGAGTTTCTTGGTGTTCTTCATTCAAGATTTCTTGGAGTTCTTCTGCCGTCAAGTCACCTTCATGTTCCATTATGAACTCTTTAATGTCATCCTCATTCACCTCCAATTCCAGATCTCTCACAGTTGTTACAATTTCATCCATAATTTCAGGGGTGTTCAAGGAGACGGACGTGATCACCTCCATTTCCTTGAACGAGGGATGGACACAGCTTTCGCCAGGCAGAAACCAACTGTCGTTGAATGATTTCTGACCATGCCTTTTCAATAAGATGAATAGCTTCGAGAATGTCAAATTTTTCTATCTAAAACATTTTTAAAGTAATTTTTGAGGAGAATTGGCATGCTTCAAAACAGCGCATAAGTATACAATTTCTTGAAACCTGCAATAACCTCTTGATCCATTGGCTGAATCAGTGGAGTCGTATTCGAAGGTAAAAACTGCACTTTCAGCCAGGTAAAGTCTATCAGCAAATTATCTTCAAGGTCCTTTGGGTGCCCTGGTGCATTGTCCAATAGCAGCAATGCTTTCAATGGCAAGTCATTGGTATCAAGGTAGTCCTTGATGCTCGGGGCACAAACTTCAAACAGTCACTCTTTGAAAAGAACCTGCATGACCCATGCCCTCTGATTCGATCTCCACATCACTGGCAGTTTTCTCTTGATTATAGTAATTTTTTTTTTTTTTTTTTTTTTTTAATGCTCTAGGATTCTCAGAGTGATAAATGAAAAGTGGTTTGAGCTTCATATCACCACTAGTGTTAGCTACCAAAAGTAACGTCAATCGGTCTTTCATGGGTTTATGCCTAGGAACACTTTTCTCATCTTTCGTGATGTAGGTACGGTTCGGCATGTGCTTCCAAAACAAACCAGTTTCATCACAATTAAATATTTGTTGTGAACCCTTCTTTTACAGTGAATTCTTGAAATTTGAGACAGAACCTCTCAACTTCTTTATCTGCACTAGCATACTCACCGTGCATGTTTAATGCCAGATCTCCTTTTAAACTTTGCAAACCAGCCAGCTGTAGCCTTGAATTCTATATTTTCGGATGACGAACCTGGAGTTTGTTCTTTCAATTGCTCAAAAATTTCTCTAGCCTTCTCTTGAATGATGGCCATTCTAGTTACATCTCTTTTCATCTCTTCTTTCATTTATCCAAACTAAAAGCAAACTGTCCATTTTTTCCTGGATGGCACTTCTTTACTTCTCAGATGTAATTTTCGTTACTCCTTTAGTGGCTTGAGTCTTCTTGATGATATCTTTCTTAGCTACGATTGTGCATACTGTAGACCTGTTCTAGCCGTACTGCCAAGCAATATTAGTCATTTTTTGTCCACTTTATACTTTAGTTATAATCTCTTGCTTGGTTTTTATGATGAGCACAGTTCCTGACACTCCACTCTTTTTAAGTCCCATAATATTGTCAGATTTTCAGGTTTTTTTTAGAAGGCATTTATAAAAGCACATACTAAAATCACAGGGACAGAAACCAACTATGACATAACAATTGACAAAGTGTCGTCACACACTACGGTACGCGTTATATGGTGCTGCCTCACTGTAAGACGTAGTATGAATTATGACAAGTCAGTGCATGTGCTCATCCAATGATGACGTGTCAGCACACGCGGGCATCCATTTTCAGGACGAATTGAGGACTGGTATCGGGCGTTAGAATTACTTTTGGTTCGTTATCTGAATATTGTTTGTTGTCCAAACACAAAAGTCTTTCCTGAAAGTGTTCGCTTTCCAACCACAAAAATCTTTCCTGAAAGTGTTTACTGTCCGAACTGTTCGTTAACCAATCACCCACTGTATATACAAAGCAAAGTTCGTAATCCGGAGGTCCATTATCCGGAATAATCTATAATCCGGACCCCAAAGCCACAAATTTTTTTTTTTTTTTTTTTTTGTGTATGCTTTATGCATCTGCATAATGCATTTACGCATGCACATTTCCGATAGTGAAGAAAGTGACAGAGAGGTTATTGAAAACTAAAAAATTTCGATTGACGAGTTAGTCAGTATTCTTGACACAGCAATTACAGGACTTGAACAGTGGAACTTTGTAACTGAACAAGAAATTATGTCTGTTTATAGAATTAAAGAGAAAGTATTAGCACAAAAAATGAAGCAACTTAAATAACTTACATTGAAAGAAGTGTTTAATAAAGTTAAACAAATGAATATTAAGCTTTTTTTTGTAAATTTTGATAACCTTTAGATCATAATTGCTGTTTATTTCATAAATTATGGTTTCATATTTTTAATTGTATAATTTATGCATGCCATCATGCCAGATTTAAATTGATGATCTATAATCCGGAAAAACCTATAATCCGGAATCATCGAAGTCCCGACGAGTCTGGATTATGGACTTTGTACTGGATATATATATATATATATATATATAATTTACTAATAATTTAGAGCATCTACTCTAATTGAATTCAGCTGCATTTTGCATTCAACAATGATTAATTGACTGTTCAACCTGCTAACAATTGAATTATGGGATATGTATATCAAAAGTATATTTGGAATAAAATTTGAGATTTCTTATATTTATGTAGTGTGAAATTCTATTTTACAATGATTAATTGACTATTCAACCTGTTGACAATTGAATTATGGGATATGTATATCAAAAGTGATATTTGGAATAAAATTTGAGATTTCCTATATTTATGTATTGTGAAATTCTATTTTATTACAGCTCCTGAAATTTCTTTTTTTAATTTCATTATTTCTGCTTTCTGTTGTAAAAATGGTGAATTGTGTAGGATAAATATGTGTAGTTTGCATAATTTCAAAATTCCGTATGATATGAGTCTTACTCTGATATAATAGCTAATGCAAAAGTAAAATCTTTTATCCAGTTATTACCAAACTGAAACTTTTGAGTCAACCAATAATAATTAAGCAATACTATGTCCCTCTAATTGAGATTAAAATAACATGCTGAACAATGATTATTTAAGTAGTCAAACAACAAGAATCAGCGTATTATTCAAATTATCCAGGACTAGTTTCCATGGTTTAACTTAGGCAGCTGAGGAAGATGCTTCTGTAGGTAATATCATCAAAACCAGTCTTACAAAATTTACAAATATTACACTGATTCTTGTTGTGTTTGACTACTCCAATAACTATCTCACTCCATTGAGCATTGAAGTAACTTCACTGTCTACCATTAGTAACATAGCAATCTTCACATTATTGTAATTGTTATATCTGTCCTTCTAACATGTAGTCTGCCGTTTCTTTTTCTGCAGTTGCAGTGTTATGACTATTGAGAGAAGTATAGTTCTTAATTACTGAATAGTGGGTACATTTTTTGTGCTAGTTTAATTAGGTGTATTTATTGCAAAAATGGTGTACTGAAAATAAAAGAACTGTATCCTTGGATCTTAAATGATTGTCTGTCTTCTAGAAACTTTCTATCTCCTACATTAGACTCTTTTAAAATTTTTTTGTCTTTCTCTCACATCTGCATGCAGATGTAAATTGTATTTATCATGTATTCTAATACACATTCTGGATCTAAAATGTGTAAAATTTAAATATAATGCAACTTGCATAAAAGCAGTGTAATAATCTCGGTATATATAAGATTGTCTTGGCACTGATTTCAAATGAAAACATTCTGTATAGTTCAAGAAGGGATTTTATGTTGAGTTGTCTTAATTGGGAGCAAGCATTCTGTACTTATTATTCATTGCACCAGTACTGGCAAACATCTGAACATATGACAGTAATTTAAGGTGTGTGATAGGGTCTCTCATCTTTTTTTTAAAGTTGGTACTTAGTAATGCATTCTGTAGTAGTAATAAAAATGGATTACAATCAAGAAAGTGAGAATATTTATTTAAAATTATATTTATAAACAGTTTTTAAAGCTATAAGCACATAAAGATCAAATATAAGAAGACACGTAAAATTTCTGTGCTGTTTTGACTATGTATTTCATTAATGAACTCATACATGAATAGGTTTGTAAATTATAAGTAAACTGTAATACAAAATGTTTTGCTTCATTGAAACACAGGTTTAAATTATTGGAATTTTTGTATCTGTTGCTATCAGGACCATTATGTAGTTTTTATGTTGAAGTTGTTTTTATGTTAAGGTTTTAAAACTGAGCCACAAGTTGATTGTACTAATTAATTTTTTTTTTTTTTTTACCTGCATCATCAGTTTTTCTTTAATTTTATGTTTATTTTCTACTGTCACATTCAAGAGGAATATCAAAAACATGGCAAAAAGGCTTTAGGAATGAACTATATCTTTTGTAATGTTTGTGTTGTAAACCAAGCATGTTTCATTAAAATTTGTATCATTCTTTTTGTTGATATTTAAATTTTACAGTTTAAATGTAACCTAAAAATGTCTGTTGATGTTCAGGAGTTTAGAATCTGCAGCAAAAATGTTGAAAATAGAAGGGCAAATATGTTGCATTCTCAAATATAGTAGCTTGAAAAACACTTCCTAAATAATTTTGGTAATATAAATTAGAATTTGAATTGAATTTTAATCTTCTTGCTTATTTTGTTATGCATTTTCACGTAATTTTGTTTATTCAAGTTTTCTTTTTAATGTACTCATCTTATATGTTGATCATTTTAAAACTTGTATCTTTGTAATGAGTCCACAAGTATATTTTTGTATTTTTCAGAATGATTTTGATTGTAACCAGAGCCGTTCCGTAAAAAGTGGGCATGAAACTACGCAGCAGAGCACATTAAATGGTCGCCATATAGGTCCTTTGCAAAGACATATATCTGTAAAACTTCATAATCTTCTAGGTAAAGCTTTAAACAAAAATGTTGCCAATTCTAACCTTGTGTCCCAAAGTGGTGAAAATGGCCATAGTGTTTTATCTGAAGGAGAATTGGAAGATTTGTCACTGCTGTTTCAAGAATTTATAAATTCTTTGAAAAGACAATCAAACAATTCCAAAAAACACGTGACAACACCACTCCATAACCAGCAGTTCTGTAGTCCAGATACAACTTTAATTTCTCATAGAACTAGTGAAGTTAAGCAAAGTAATAACAACAAACAAAGTAATAATCGCAAGAAACATTCAGCAACTGAAATTGGCCATCATGGAAAAGACATTGTTCAAAATCAGAGTAGTCATTTGTGTACTGTGTCGGTAAAGAAATCAAAACCAGGGACATCATCAAAGATGATTTGTAGTGATGACAGTAACACTGAATGGCCATCCGAAAGATGCTCGGATGATGAGCTGGAATGCAGGGAATTAAATATTTTTGGCGTTGGAACTAGAATCATATCATTATCTGACTGCGAGTATACTCCTGAAGTCTTGGACCTAAATGTGAGAACAGATAGTTCAGAAAATGATTCTGAACCTGATGTTATTGTTTTGGGAGAGAAACGTCCAGTTTATGAGGTTATAACACTGGAAGAGGTATGCCACTTTTTATTATTTTTGCTTAATAAGGATGCAAAATATATTTTTGCTATTTGATATTCAGGTTTTTTTATATTATGTTTTTAAATTTATTGATTAAGATGTTGAAACGTATGATTGGTGATGTATTCTTAAATTGTCATAATTCTTTAAAACATATTACTTTTGTTTAAATATTTCTCAGAAATAGAAATTATGTATAAATAGCCCACCAACATTTAAAAGCGAAGCCGTATTTTATCATATGAAACCTTACAGAAATTGCATATTAAATGGTTTGGAATACAGCAGGTATATCTTATGCTGAAAATTGATGTGAAATATTAGCTGTTATTAGGAAAACCAGAGGCAACACTAAATTATTAGTTGTTGCAGATTTTAGGTAGTGTAAGGTGATTACAGTAGAACCATAAGGTGATTTCAGTATGTGTGAACTGATTAAAAACATGGAGAGGGGGAATGTACAGTGGCAGACAAAAAAATTGCATCAATTAGAAAAATAAACATTTTGTAATGTTAACACATCATTTTGCTCACATAAAGTTATCATTGTTGCGGCAAAGCAAGATATGAGATCATTCCATCTTCATATTGCATCATGCCGTGCTTCTGAAGTATTTTGTTGTCCAATTTCTGTAAAATATTGCTTCAAGATAGAAACAGTCATTCATCTCTTTCTTTAGGAATAATATTCAACATGTGTGATCGCTAAAAAAATTGTCTGCAATCAATCAGTAGTTTTCAGAGTGATTGAATTGTAGCATGTAATTGGGGATGTTTCTTTGCATTCAGTTTTGGCAAAATGGCATTTTGGATAGTTGAAGAATGAATAATTTAGATTCTGCTGCAACACAATATTGATGTAGTTTTATGTACTTTATAAGAAAGAATGGTGCTTTCTGATTGTCTTTACCCTACCCAAAGGTGACAAACTCCTTGCTGGTTAATTTTTTGCCAAGCTAATGCAGGCAAAGGCAAGGGCCATTTCCAAAGTAATGGCACACTAAGAATTCTGTAAAAGAGTAATCAGTAAAATATAAAAAGTAAGAAACATGGGTAATTAAGCATTGTTTAAAGAAAGCCTTGTGTAATTTTTTTTTTTTTTTTTTTTTTTTTTTTTTTTTTTTTTTTTTTTTTTTGTGTGCTGTTCCTTCCGTGTACATAACAATCTGTTTTCAGTATTTAAAATAAAAAAAATCATTAATTGCACAAATTCAGCATTGCGGACAGCTTTGCCATTGCACACTGGTCAACGATAAATAAAGTAAATAGTTGTTATAAAAGAAGTTTGACTATCTTCATATCTTCAAACCAGTTTCTGACCCATATTATAACCTTTTGCTTGGGATTTTTCACATTGCATTTGCATAAAATTTGGTCGATTAAGAAGTACAACTTCATAGAATGCAAATTTTTCATTCCTTATTGTTGAGAAAAATGTCTTATTTCTGCAGAAATATAATGCTTTTTCATTATCCGGTGACATCTGCAGTTCCATTATGATTCATTCTTAGAAAAAATTCAGCAGTGATTTTATTTTTGCTCTCAAAAGTCGATTAAGAAGTACAACTTCATAGAATGCAAATTTTTCATTCCTTATTGTTGAGAAAAATGAAATGCCTTATTTCTGCAGAAATATAATGCTTTTTCATTATCCGGTGACGTCCGCAGTTCCATTATGATTTATTGTTAGAAAAAATTCAGCAGTGATTTTATTTTTGCTTTTCACTGCTTTGATCTGTCATGTGTGTCAAACTAGCTAAAATTTTGCCATAGACTCATGAAAAGGAATCGTAAGTTAGACAAAAATAAATGAATAAATATTTATTATCTTATTGTGATTGATCTCTTAACCAGAATTTTGATTTCATTTCTGTTAAAAACTACCCAGAAAGCTTCTAAGTAACTTTGGAGAGGGGGAGGGAAGATTCTTCAATTGGTGAATATTTTCTTGAAACCTCTCACAAAAATTTCTCTGTGTTAATGTCATTAATTACAGGCAAGCTTTTTCAAAAGCATTCAAAATTCTAATATTTCAACTTGAATTTCTTTCTTTCCTTTTTTTTTTTTTTTTTTCTTTCTTTGATTGCAGTATATTCATTCTTTTGGCTGTACCTTTCCATTTGTTGCTCTTTATTCCATTGCTGCTATAAATTTTCTACTTCTGAAGAAGAGATGTTTATTTTAATCAGTTTTGAAATATACAACATTTGATATAAAATTTACACCATTGTGCAAGAGTTTTTCATGGAGGGTTGAATTTTGCTTTGTCATGTGTTTTTTCTGTATAGTTGATTGATATTGTTTAATGTTACTTTATTTCATGAATCTTTGACGTAATGCTTTACATCAAGAACATCGAATTTAGGTGTTGTAGTTGCAGATTTCATTTCATATTGTTTGGTATTTGTCTTGGCAATTTTCTATACTTTGTTATAAGCTTTATAGTACAGAATGTATGGATGTGATTGCTCTGAATTGTGCATATGAATGTTGCTCATTAAAGGTAAGTATTACTTAATGATAAAATAAGATAATATAAATGATAGGTCTTCTATAAAAGAAATTCCGAGGGAAAAATTTGGAAACTTTTTGAACTGTTTAATTAATTTGGGATAAAATGCTAATTAAATGAGATTTTTTGCTTTTTTTTTTGTTCGCGAAAACAGTTGCTAAGAGAGGAAAATTCGAATTTAGAAGTAGTAATAAAGTATTTTCAAATTTATGTTTATTCAGGGTTCGTACGGTCCTTAAAAGTCCTTAATTTTTTCAAAAATGATTTTTGGTCCTTAAAAGTTCTTAATTTTGGCCAAAATGAATAAACGGTCCTTAATTTTGCTCATTTGACATTTCTTATCATTTCTAATGATTGCCATTCTAAGTGTGAATTACAATTTCTCATGAACGTGGAATTAAAATTGCATGGCTCTTAACCAATCTGTTGGCGGATTTGCGTTGCAAACAATTTAAAAAAAAAAAAAACAGCTACTCAAACGAAAGTATCGGTGTCTGATTGGCTATTTACCCAATCTTTCGAAACAGGTCAGGGGGGGGCCCAAGAGCGATGCGCAGTGCAGGGAGAAAGTTATGCCACATACGCATGACGTCATGTGGGTGACAGCGTTAGTTCTTGGCGTTTGTTTACTTTCGTTGCATCAAAACAGTTTGATTTGATTTGTGTTGTTAATTTGCTATTATAACCTAGGCGGAAGTGGCAAATTGTGCTATAGCGTTGTGTCAGAATTATACACTAATAATACGTTTTTTGGCGGAAAACACTCTTTACAACCAGATAAAATAACTATTTTTTAATGAATTTATGTAGTTTTCATACATAACTGTGATGTAATTTT